ACAAATATAGATACAAATGCCCCGTTAGAACTTCTTAAAGGCCAACGTCTAGGCCCAGGCAAATATTGGGCTGGTCCACTGAATACCGATACTGCTCTCTCCCAAAATGTAAAACCCCCAAAAGCAGCAAACCATCACTCACGCGCGCGCTCTCTCTCCGACCTGAAACAGCAAGGTGAGACCACTGTTCATCTCTCTCTCTATATTCCTATTCCTATTCCTATTCCTACTTCTCAATAACTCCGTCAACCTGGAATTAATAGTTAGTCTGAGGCTACTTTTGTAAGTTCATGTTAATCCGTAAAGCTGACTCTGTATTGTATTGCTGGCCTTACACGTGGTGTTCTTTGTGAATTGTAAAATTGAATACATATCGTCTCTTCTGTGACTTTTTTGCTTCTCAAGTTCTTCCTCTTCGTTTCTTCGTCTCTGTCAATATTCACTTTTGCTAAAGGTATGTCTTTCCCAATTTTTTGATTTTACTAGCTAATATATTGTTTATTGTTAATTATTCTATATGGCAGATTATCCATAGGATTAATTTTATTTTTAAGTTAATACTGAGATTTTAAATTCAATTTACTTTTGAAATTTTTGATTTTATGGTTAAATTGTTCATGAGTTTTCAGCGCCTCTGTTCTCTCTATACTCCACCGCTATGACCGTATATCTTAACTGCAAATATCTTATTTATTTGTGTAAGCTAATCAATTTTCCTTACTTTTTCTTTAGTATGTCTTGAATATCAAAATGTTTTTTGGCTATTGAAGGTTTAGTCAGAAAAAAAAATTGTTGCTGTCATGATTTGCCTTAATAGCTTTCTGGGTTTGTTTTGTTCATATTCCATTTTTTCCTTTTTTTTTTCTTTTGCTATGTTTGATTTTTGTTATTAAACAGTTGATTTAAGTCTAATGCTATGAAGAAATAGTTAATCTAGGATGAAGTTGAAGGGTAGAATAGAGGAGGAACTTTTTGCGCTCTCATTGATTTGCCTCCTGCTCGATCTGATCTCAATAGCATAAATTTATTTGTTTGATTGATATGCAAATGGCTAATCTGTATGAAATTTGTTTGACCCTTGCAATGCTTGGCATTTTACAGCTGGATAAAATTCTATTTCATGGTTTCCACCTAAAATTTATTTGTTTTTTACGCCATGGATAACCAAGTTTATTATCAGATTTGATGTGAAATGTAAATCATCTAGGGTACTAGAGGCCATTATATATGAAATGCATGCCGGCCTGGTGTATACAAGAAACTCAAGTACACCGTCAATGAAAAATTGACACACTAGGACTACAATTTGTATATTAATATGATGGTGTCTCTGACACTACCTTGACTACATTTTTGAGGTGTATTAATGGCTTCAACTCGCTACACCTTTTGCTTTGATATATACTTATTTTAACATTTTTTGTTTTTTCCACTCTTTTTTATCAGCACCTTTTCTCTTTTACTTTTTAAATACAAAATATACACATCAGCAAAGCAATTGTTAACGAATAACTTCTGAGAAACAAGTTAGTAAGGTCATTGAAAAAATAATTAACTTTTAGAATAAAACAGACTGCATAAGGTTTTTGAAACATAACCCCTCTAGGATGTTAAGCACATACGAATGACCAAATGGTACATGTAACTGTAATTGGAGAGGTTTAATATTTTATAGGGTACTTTGAAATTAATTTGGATTATGGCTTGAAAAATTGGATAAGGAAGAGAAGTAGAGAAAACAGAGACACACATCCACAGGAAAAGGGGAAGACATGGTGTGTGACGAAATTGTTGGAGATGGATATTGCTAATGCTCTTTAGCTAGATTGGCATCTGGATATATATATATATGTTGGAGCATTTGAAATACTAGATCTATCTAACAGATTTCTAATCAGTTTTTACTCTGAAGTTTGCAAATCTCATAACTTGCATGATAACAACGAAAAAATCTTAATATAAATGTTAGAGAATTTGGTGGCATGACACTATTAACGATGTAGGAGATAAGTTTCACTGGTTTATTATGACACTACTTAAATAATAATTAATCTAGCTAATAGGTTCAATGTTCTTGAATTGTTTCTAAACAAGAGTACAAAAAGGAGTGATGTGTTTAGAATTTAGAAACTCTGCATTATACAAAAACGTGAATTTAACTACAATATAGTGTCAAACATAGCTCGCCCTCTATTCTAAACAAATGTTGTTTGGCTTAACGTAGATGTTCAGTTGCTTACAATCACATCCGCAGATGCCAACATGCTTCAGGGATCGAACTTTTTTTTTCCGCTTTCAGTTAAGCTCATTTTATATTTACTTTTACACCATGACTTTAGTGAACAAGAATCTTTTCGTAATTTAGGTGGGCAATTAATCATTTGATGAGGTAGCTGCTCTCTACCAAGCAGAGTATGTTTGTAGGCTTCTCTTATGTTTGTACTTTAGATTGAATGACAATTTAACTGAAAAACAGCCAGCTTTGATCTTTCGTCGCAAAGGTTAATTGGCTAATATACATGTTCAGTAGCTTATGCCGGCATCTATAGATACAAACATAAGAAGATATTATTTTTGAGTTACAAGGCTGAGCTAAGGCCAGTTGGAGACATGTACATAAATACAATATATGAGATTCATATTGGTATGTAAATATTTCCCATTTTACTATTTGGAAAAGATAAATAAAAACCATTATTATGTAAAAAATTAAAATAATTGCTTGGTTTATTCTGATGCGAGTTTTAGTGATATATTATTTTCCTTCGCATTTCCATTGATTTGTGGGTTTGCTGGTCTGATTTGTGCATCATTTTAGGATTGTCTATTGACGTTTTCTGTTTGGGACATGTCTAAACAGTTAGGTTCTCCAAAAATTAGTGCATTTAGAGGCATCAGAAATAGGTCACCAATGCTATGAAAAAACATCTGATTTAGGATGCAACTGAAGGGAGACTGAAGAGAGGAATTTTTTTTCTCTCTGTGATTTGCCTACTTGCCTACTGCTCAATTTGATCTTAACAATGTGTGAGTGTGAAGATAGTTGATTATGTTGAAAGATAAATTTTTTCATGTGGGTTAAGCGGATTGTCTCTTTAGTTGCCCTCTTTATGTTGTCTTTGCAGTTCTATAATATATGTTCTTTGGATAGCTTTTTTCTTTGGTTGGCAAAGATGCTCTTTGAGTAACTTATTGCCACCTTGATGTTTCCTTTATATTACGTAATTGTTGAGAATATGAGCTCATCCAGTAGGTACAATAGTTTTGTTCTTCATATGGGTTCTCTCAATAATGATTGTAGCTTAAATGTAAAACAGATCTTAAGACGTAAAAATGTTCAACACGTTTAAATGTGTGGAACTTCTTCGTTAAGATTATTGGACTTTAATGTTTTTTAACATCGTTTTGTTCTTATATGGTGTTTTTTTACTGTATATGTTAATTTATCAAAAGGTTGCAGGAAAAGTAACTCATCTCTATCATATGGCCTTTATCTATCGATTTTGGCTGGCCTAGAAGGAGGGTCGGCCTAATTGTTCTTTTGAACAAAATTTTAAGATAGTATATATATTTTTGTACTGTAGACACTGCTCGATGTAATTACTGCGTGTCTTGTAGATTTATATATATCTAGAAGATCAAATAGTCTTTTACATTCTTCTAAACTGATTATGAACTAAATTTAGTGTTACAACAGTGATATTAATTCATTCTTTTGTCTACTGAACAATGAGAAATAAATTATGAGACGACAACAACAATCGCACTTTTCCATGGAGATGTGCGTAGTAGCTATTTTGTATCTCAAGTGTGAACTGTGCATAGGGGACATATCATTGGGGTTACGAAAGTCAAAGGCTCTAAAGTGGCTTCTAATTATCAAAATATCATTTGATCAACTGTCTCATGCTTAACTTTTGAATGTATTATAATTTCTTCTTAGTTGCCTACAACAGGAACATTTTACTGTTATTTCATTGGACAAGTTCTTTGATAAAAACAAGGTCTTGCTTTGGACCATATAACGGCCAACAACTTCAATCAATTATTTTAACTTTCCCAATTGATACTATGCTTTAGGAAAACTGGTAACTAAATTAACTTCACTGGAGGTAGATTGGTCCTCTATTTCGTCTTTACAAGGACAGCCGCCGCCATCAAATACTCCCAAAAAAAAGGCAAGCTTAATTTAACGTTAACAGAACTCTTCACTAAATATTTTGGTTAGAATCAAAAGGAAGCACAATGTCTAACGGAAATATATAAACTTCGATTTGACAATCGTGGCACTTCGATTACTTAATGCGTGGCTTTTTAAATTTTTGACAATCGTGAGCTATTTCTATGACGTATGAGAATTTCATTTCTGTAAATTCTTTAGATGTTGCATTGGTTGTTTCTGTTTATATGCTCATTCATTTCTTCCTGTTGGTTATATACATATTATGTTACTATATAGGTGCATGAAACAATAAATTGGAAGTTTTTAAGTGCAAGGATAATAGAATACTAGGTTTTTGTCTGTTTTAAATGGTATTGGTTTTGATCGTAACAATAGTTATTGTCAGTTCGATAAGAAGTGTGATTTGCTTTACAGACCATCTGGAATTAGTTATATGTCAAATAGGCAATGAATAGGATGACCGTTTGTGTGATTTTTAGATCATCCAAATAGATTTTTCGAAGCGGAAAATTTCGCTAGCCGTTGTTGTGGGAATGGGTATCCAACAATTGTAGTTTGGTTTGAACAAGGCTAGTAGAAAGTACACACAGTTCCCTAGTGATAGAACCACATCATGTAGGTCAATCTGCTTGTGATTTCATTGAATCATTGATTATATGTACATAGATTGGGAATTAGCATCATCTCAGTTCTTTGGAAGCATAGTTTCCCCTGTGGCTTTAGCTATCCTGTAAAAACCGCTCTTGTTTATGGGCAAGAGACTGATTGACAGTTGCAGAAATTTCTTGTTAAGTATAATAGTAGAACCAAAGAAATCACCTAGCTATTGTAAAGATTAGTTGCCTTCAAAATTTGTATTTCTGGTGTAAAGAAAATATAGTTGAAAACTTAGATCAGTTTATGGATTTTATAGGTGTTTTGGGAATGCAACTGATGCAGCTATGCTGTAACTTGTAATTTTTTGGGTACCTTCTTGGTCCTCCTTTAATGAAACCTTTACCTTATCCAAAAATAAATAAAATAGTAGAGCATTATACCAGTGAAATTTGGCATTTGCCTTTGCACTTTTTCCTTTTTAGCCAACACCATTAACCCGATTATTCACTTGGTCAGAGCAAAAAGTTTGATGCTCTATTTTTTGATTAGGGAGAAACTGACCATGGTATTTAAAGAAGAAAATACTCCGCTTTTCAAAATTTACTCTTCAGAAGTTTTCATGACACAGTCAAAATTATGGATTTTATCCATTCACCTTTTATAGTGTCTTCTTTGTCACTTATCTCTTTTTTCTTCATTAAAAGGCTTTACAGGCCGTAAACATATAGCCAGGAGTAGAGATGGAGCTATGATTTCAATTTTATGGGTTCTGGATTAGAATGACGACTTCAAGTGCTAATAATTGGGTTCTTAATTTAATATTTGTTCATATTTGATGAAAATTATAATACAAATACACTGTTTGAGCAAAAGCTATTGGGTTTGAGCGTTTGGCCAAACCCGTGGCCGGGATTCTAGCTCCGCCCCTGACCAGGAGTAATGTGAAAAAGCCCTCTTACTTCACATTGTTATGATGATAGCTTAAATGAGTTATTATATAAAATAATCTAGTTGACTCAGAAAAGGTTGGTTGTATTCTGTTATTTCACTTTTGGTGCAAAGAGAAGTATGCTGATGAAGCTGAATCACTCCTAGAAGTCATAGAATCCCTGTAAGCTGAACAAGATATAGTTTTTCTGAATTATGCATCTTTGGTAACTTGTAAATATGGTTTCCAGCACTTTGTACTGCTGATTAATATATTGTTACCTATTCCAAAAAAAAGAAGGTTGGTTGTGTCACATAAATTAGTTCGGAAGAGAAATTGTATTGTTACTGAATTGTAGGTCTATTTTCAGAGAAAATGAAGAAAGGCATTCACCCTCAAATGCAATGGATATCCTATGTGACACAAAGTGGACGATTGATGCATGTTATGATGACCAAAATACACCAAACAGGCAAGGTTTATCACATTAGAGCAAGGCGTCAAATGGCTCAAAGTGTTGGTCAGATTGCAAAGTTTAAGCGCCGGTATGGTGAGAAGGAGGAGGAGGTGGTGGAGAAAGCAGAGAAATGAAGGTTTAAGTTGGAAAAAGAATGAATTACCAGTCTTGGGCTCTCTGATGATTTTGTGGATGAATTCATCCTTACCTTTTCCCTCTTCATTTCGTCTTAACTTTTCTGTTTAAGGAATGAATACTGGTCTTCTTGTATGCTGTCACCCCTTAAAATGTTTGTGAAACATTAGTGAAGAAACATTGGCTCATCCTACTCTCCTTGTTTGAAAGTATTTTATGAGGTTTAAGAAACTTTAGTGTCTCTATCTTCTTATTTGGAATTATTGATGCTTCTTCTTCACCCGTGTCAAGTGACCAAGTTCTTATGGTTCTGGTGTACTTTTTTTTGTTGTAGCAAATTCCTGACTAACTTTTAAGAAAAGGAGAAATTAAACTGTAGGAAGTAGGTAGCATGTTTGCGTATCTCCCTCTGTTGTTGCCTGTCTTCAGTAAGCTAAAGGACAAAGCTGTTATAGTGTTGTAGTCACATGTTTTATTGTTCCAAAGGTGTACACAATAATATGATTGTTGCTCAAAATTGAACACCATTCTCATTTACCTGTTGTGAACAGTTTTATGAGATCTTCTTTCTTTTTGTTAACTAAACTATTTTCATTACCAATGGTAGTATGTACGGCAAATACAAAACCTGACAGTTGAACCATAGGTGTCAACTATCAGCAGCAATCCTTCTCTTACAATTGTTAGTTTCTTATTCAGCATTTTTATTCGGGGAACAGAAAAAGTTTTTTTTGGGATCAAGATGAAATATTTAATATATGTGCTAGATATGAGTACATAAAGGGACTTTCCACTGGAATATAGCTCCCAGTCCCCAGGGAGTAGTTTACAACATATTTAGATGCAAAATGTGGGGGAAAGGGATATAGATTTGAGCTCTTAAGAACTTTCTATTTGCTTCCACCCTTAGCTAGTTAGTCAGTTACATGGTTAGCTTCTCTGTATGTGTGCTTCAGAGTCGGATTACCAGCCTGAGGAGGAGTAACGTGCAATTATCAATGAGGTGAGGAAAATGAACATTACCTATTTGAAGTGCAGTAACTACTACATTTGAGCCTGTGTTGATTTCAAGTGGATGTAGTTTCTTTCAAATTGCTATATCTGATCGCATCTGTAAAGCTGTTTGTTCTGCAAATATGTTAATTGTGAAAGTATCATATAGTAGCCTAAACTCCAGTCACCTTTGTGATTTCTGGAGCACCTCCTATTCCTCCTATCCCGGGTTACTGATTACCCAATGGGGAACCTTCTGTAATTAATTTGTTGTAGTTTTCTTGGAGGGAGGCAGCAGTTATCTTTGTCCTTTGATAGTTTAGTTTGTATATTTCCTTCTTTTTCCTGTAAGCATTATGTATTCGGTAGCTTTTGCAACGACTGAGTTGGTATTTAGAAGATCCTTTTTATTATTGAAGTGGTTTTTGATTTCGATTGATCCATTTGTGCCAGAGTCAGAAAGGGAAATGTTCAGTCCAGAGGAAATGTTGACTTTAATAGTTATCATTAGAAGTATAATTCTGTTAATCCAGTTCTTATGGAAGAGGGAGGGTCATAATTTGATGTAATTTGTCTGTCCAGGTCTGCCCAGAAATTTTTAACACACTGCACTGCGTAAAAATATGTGCTATGGTCCCTTGCTTATTATGGCATATTTGGCTTTCTTCCCCGATTTTGATGCCACTTTCTTTTAGCAGAGCTCCATGCTAGTCCTTGTAGCAGGGATTGATTCAGCACCTAATCACAAGAAATTCTTGTCCCTCCCCCTTGTGAATTAGAGAGTAAAATTATACTCCTTCGATTACAATCAATTCACAATTGATAAAGTAATTACTTGGTCAGGTAAACCGTGGTAGTTATGTCAAGAAAATGAGTTTTCTGCCCTTTTAAGTTTGTCGTTGATTCGTTCCTTAATATTGAAAGCCCCTATATGGCTTTTGAATGTAGCGTTGGGAAGAAGGGCTTTCCTAGTTTACAAGTAGCTTTGATTCAATTCTAATTCTAAGTGTCAAGTATAGAGATAAATTAACTCGACTCATATACCCTGTTAATTATCTCTTTTGCAAGTTGAATAGCCTTTCTGCATCTCCAACTGTCCAACATGACAAGAAAATACTACAGATGAAAAACACAATCAGTAATCACTTATCCAGAAAATACAAGATTAACGAGCACGGATCAGAACAGGAAATCGATGGTGGCATTGAGGCAACAAGGAGACAATGTCTCAAATAGAAAATAAGATGTATTTTGTTAGCTTTTTGTAATCTTCACAAACTACTAGAATGAACTATGGGCTTAAACGTGCCACTTTAGCAAAGCTCAAGATTACCTGTATGAAAAAATCTTTTCCCTGTGTTTGTAAGTGTAAACACATTGACGAACTCATGTGGGCATTCCTTAACCCGAGGTCAAATGGACAATATCTCAAATACAAATGTAATAAAAAGAGAAATGCGCGATATTACAGAAAGAAACACACTGAACATGAGGACGGACAAAAGGACAATAATTCCCAAATATCTTCATTTTGCTCAGCAACACAACTCTATTAACTGTTTGTTAATTTTGCATCCAAGATTACAGATTTTGAGGGGTTAACAAGGCATGAGTAAGATGTCTAATAGATAGGACAACCCCCTACTCGTATTCCTAGCAGAGCAGGCGCGTGTAATAATCTCTTTATTCATCACCACTATCCTCGCCTTCAGCTTGTCCATCTTCATTTTCATTATCAGAGGGGTGCTCGGCAGCTTGTCCATCTTCATTTTCATTATCAGAGGGTTGCTCGCCAGCTTGTCCATCTTCATTTTCAGTGTCAGAGGGTTGCTCTTTCATCTTGGCCTTCCCATTTTCCACGGGTTCTTTCAGCTTCGCTTTTTTGTTAGATTCTGCGGATTTCATTGATCCTGACTTCCTTTTAGAGTTCCTTTGTCTGAATACTGCAAAAAGAAAGAAGAAAACATAAAGGCAAAGATAGCTGTAAATTCATTCACAGTAAACATTCTTTGATATCATAGTGCCTCACTTGTAATCAGATAATTAAGCCCATTTAAAGCAATAATCTATCACTTATCACACATATATACTGCACAGAGTTCTCTGAAATTCACCATTCAATGATGTAAAATGCATGACGAGCAAATGATACTTGTCTGACTGTCTGAAGCTTATCACAAGAGGAATCTCGAATAGGACACCAATTAGAATCAAAGATGATCCCAGACAAGGTAGAATTACAAATATTGATGATTCATGATAGTTTAAAGTGGAGATTCAATGAGGTAATGATTACATATTCCATAAAGAAGGGGGTAAAAGCAGGGGCGGATCTATGTACATGGTTCGGGGTGGTACGCCACCCGCAAGTTTCGGCGAAAACTTTATGTATATATGTAAATATGTATAACAAATAGGATATATATTTAAAGTGCCACCCCATAAAACAAAAGTGGCAAAGGTGCCAATGGCAAAGGTCTGCCTTTTTGTTCAGCAGGGCAAGACTTCGAATCCTGGTGGGAGCAAATAATTTTTTGGCTTACATTCAGTTGCAATTTAAGGAGATTAAATACACTACACAGCACACTCTTCTATATTTTATATTAAATGTTTGACTTTTCTGTTTGTTTGATTAAGTATAAACAAATAAGATAAAATAATAATAAAAGTATTCTCTTATAATTAATATAGAAAGTTAAAATCCTTTTTGAGGATCTTTCCCAAATGCCAATTTTCAAAAGGTAAAACAAAGCCCCAACTCCCCAAAGTTAAAATCATTATTGATCGTTTTCAAAATATGAAAGCTCGTAGAGGACAATTGTAAATAGATTGTGTATGATATTAAAAATATTGTTGGAAGTTTTATGCTTTGCGTCAATTAGTTATAGTTATTATATTTTCTTTCGTTTGATCTATTTGTCTATATAAATAAAAAGGATGTATAACCCGAACCGACGCTCGAGTTGATCAAATCGATTAGGTCGGCACCCGTAACCCCTAAATCCTGGATCCGCCTCGGGGTAAAAGAGGTTCGATTGTGTGAAATATCAGATAAGTTGCAGAATTTATGAGAAGAATATCTGCATACATGTACAAAAAATGGAAAATAGTTTTTTCCTTCTAATTCATATGAAAAAATATTCAAATACTTGAGTATAATAAGTCGGGACATATTGGTTCTAATACTCACTGCATGTCCTGGATAGGTGAGACAAAAATACAAGTTGTTAATTTGCATATATTTGGCATTAAGACCGATAACAAGATCAGCGGCTCAGAGTGATCAATAAGCAACATTATGCTCAACTTGTACAGGGTAAAGAGAGCTAGTGAGTCTGGCAACTCTCAAAATTATCCCCAACCTTAAAATGCCCCCATAAGAAGAACTATGAGCATTTATTTTCTAATTTCAGCACTTTTTGTTGTTTTGACCTTTAATAGAGTGCCTCTGAACAAGCTTAATGTGAAACCTTCCATTAAAGGTTTCACATTTCTGTTCCAGAATAATTAGCCATCGTCGGGAGACAAAAACAGTCATTAGTAACCTTTTGTAGTGGATTTAGACCTGGTGTATTAATATACATCTACTCCTCTCCTCACCAACTATTCATTACCTTTAAATCTCTTTGCCCTAACACAACAGAATCGGCATAGCTGATCATTTCCGACCCTTATTTCTCAGTTTAACCAAATATATGTAAAAATTAAACGATTCTTTGCAGTGTGAGTAGCAGTGAGGAAGTGCATAGAGATTAATACTCTGGTCTTTCTTTCTACCTTCTTTATTTGGGTGGGAGAGAGGTTTCAGATACAGTTAGAAGGCCAACTCTCCATAGTAATGCAAGGTGATCTAATTTATTTGAACTAATGTATGGGGTACTGGTACCCCAGCTTATCCATGTTACTAAAATAAAATTGAACAGTTTCAACCACAGAACATCCCATTTTATTCAGGAAGACCACAACAAGTGCCAGCCTCCAACCTGATGAGGCTGCAGCGCAGCTTTGGTTTTAGGAAAACAAAGGACAAACAATTGTCTCGTCACTAGTATAAATATGCTTAACTGCTGACCTAAACAAGCTATCAAGTAATCATGCACCTGATTATGCTACATAACCTGCCAATTTTAGTTACACCCTCTATCTCATTTTATTTAACTCGATGGAACTGTTTACATGGCAAAATGAAGAAGCCAATCATCTTTCATTAGCCCACCTCTGGCAAATTTAGTTCAGTAATATATCTTAGTTTTAGTAGAAAGATATTGCTAAAGCTTTCAAGCAATA